TGGTGGCGTTTGCGGTGGACTTTGACTCACGTCTGCAGGCGGTGAACCACATGTCTCTGAGTGAGGGCATGTACCCAGCCAGGCTGCTGGACAGCATCCAGCTCCTGCCACAGCAGGCCGCCATGGCTTCCATCCTGCCCACTGCCATCGTCAACAGTGAGTGTCCACGCACGCACCAACACCAGCACACGTACATGGAGCTGGAACGAGACGTGCTTTTGTTTAGACATGCACAATCACACACACATGCTCTTGTTCTTTCTCCTTTTCTGTCTCCCTCTGACACACACACATACACACTAGTCCACAGCCTGCACTCAGTCACCTGCTTAACAAGGAGCGTCGTCTCCGCCGGGCGTAGATTAACCCAGATGAGTCTCTGCACTGGAGATAAGAGCCATCGACCTTCAAGTTTTGGGTTCACATAAACACACTGAGGCTCGAACTAACGTGTTAATTGCAAAATACACGCCTCATGCAAATAGTGTGTTTGTTTACTTAGCGAGGGCTATCTGGGTTCAGCTCAACAGGGAGGCTTCTGTAAGCAGATGGTCCAGTGTTCTTGTTTGCCCTTGAGAAAGGGCACCAACCCAGTGGTAGCAACACAGCGATATGCTGCAGCTGAGGATTTGGTGGAAAAGCCTTTTAACACAGGCTTTGAGAGTCAGAACTGTAGAAGTATGGAAGAGGAATGCTTGTGTGTGCATATGTGCAAGCTCTTTATCTTTACACTTGTGTGACAATATGAAAGTAGTTTGAATCCTGATATCATGTCCCCTTTGTCACTTTCTGTGTCCCTTCAGAGGACATCTTCCCGTGCAAAGCGTGTGGAATCTGGTTTCGGAGCGAGAGGAACCTGCAGGCCCATCTCATGTACTACTGCAGCGGGCGGCAGAGGGAGCCAGAGACAGTCGTGGAGGAGAACGAAAATGGACCACACCAGACACCCAGTATTTGCCCCTTCCCACAGTGCAACAAGAGCTTCTCTGGAGCAAGGGCCCTGGAAATGCACTTGAGCACCTCACACAGTGGTGAGTGACAAAGTCATGAGCCAAGATTCAGAGAGAAATTAGATTTTTTTTTTTAAAAATACAACAAATGTCATTGTTTTTATATTATAGTTCTTGCAGATGGCTACTTTCACTCAATTTTAAAAGAAAAATATGTTTTAGAAAAAAGGACAGAGTTTTAGACGCATTTGGGAAAATGACTGTCATTTCTTTTGAGAAATATACATATCCTGCTGTCAGCTAGCATAGTTGACAGTTTATCCTTGAGCAAAAAAAAAATCTAGTGGATGGGAATAAGCTTGGCATAATGCATGAGCGTTTGATGGTTTCTACAGTTAACTCTAAAGGAGAAGTGGGAGGCGAGATTCTGAGCATTTCTCCCTTTTATCTCCTTCACAGGTGTCAAAATGGAAGAGAGCCTCCCTCCTGGCACCAGCTTGAAATGCACAATCTGTAACTACACGGCAGATTCTCTTATTACATTCCAGCATCACATCATGTCTCACCTGTCACAGGCGGCCTTCAGATGCAATCACTGCCATATCAGCTTCCAGAGCCACAGGGAACTCTTACAGCATCAGGACTTACATGGGCACGGCAGCAAACTTCACAGGGAAGGCGACGGCACCGAGCATTCCCCCAGGGGTCCTGAGGAAAGCCTCCAGCAGCAGCAGCAGCAGCAGGCCCGCGCTGAGCTGGCCAACAGGAAGGATGCTCTGCTGGGAAGTCCCAAAGGGGCCCTCAACAAGGAGACCAGCACAGACGGAGAGGCTGACAAGGCTGAGAAGAAGCCCATGCTGTCTGTTCAGAAGGGAGAGGCCCACCCAGGCAGCAAAGCCAGTTTTTCTTACACTAGGATCAAGTCTGAGCCCTCCAGCCCCCGACTGGCCTCCTCCCCTGTGCAGCATAACATGCCTACATTTCCCATGGGCCCCTTCTTGTCTCAGTTTGCTTTCTCCCAAGACATTTCAGTAGTCCCGCAGGCTTCTGAGATTCTGGCTAAAATGTCAGAGCTAGTTCACCGGAGGCTTCGCCATGGAGGGAACAGCTACCCCCCTGTCATCTACAGTCCTCTCATGCCCAAAGGGGCAACCTGTTTTGAATGCAATATCACCTTCAGCAACCTGGACAACTATTTGGTCCACAAAAAGCACTATTGTAACAGCCGCTGGCAACACATGGCAAAATCTCCTGACTTCTCCGCCCTGTCAGATAAGGTCCCTGAGGCGGTGAGCCCCAACAGTGGTCACAGTTCTGTTAGCATGTTGGCCGGCTGCCACCCTACAGAGGCCGACAGCCACCTCATGCAGTCTGCTTGCCTGAACTCCAATGTGTTGGACATGATCAATGCTGGGGCTAAAGGGCCTGATAAGGATCTAGCAGGACAGGTGAAGAAGGTCTCTACTCCAACCGGAGCTGAGGAGAGGCTCAATGGCAAGCAGATGGAGGGGAAAAGCCCCAGCACCGGTTTGGTGGAAAGTGACAATGATCCGACCAAGACAACTTGCGATGCCTGCAATATCACCTTCAGCCGTCATGAGACCTACATGGTCCACAAGCAGTACTACTGTGCCACTCGTCATGATCCTCCCATGAAACGTATGTCCACCAATAAGGTGCCCTCCATGCAGAGAACCATGAGGACCCGCAAGCGCAGGAAGATGTATGAGATGTGTCTCCCTGATCAGGACCACCAGAGGCCCCCTATGGGTCAACCAGGCTTCCTCGGGGTTCCTCCTATGAACCCTTGTACATCCCAGGAAGCTGTAGAGAGCCTAGCAGACCGCTTCCATCCCCGCTGTGATATCTTCCCAGGTATGGTACCCAAACACCTGGAGGCTTCTCTGACTGTCACTAAACCTATACTGGCTCCCAAATGCAATACAGTGGAGCCACAGGAGCTCGATGCTCCCATTGATCTCAGCAAAAAATGTTCGCCAGTCCCTGACAAGACATGTAGCTCTCCCAAAAGACTTTTGGACTATCACGAATGTGCAGTGTGCAAGATAAGTTTTAACAAAGTGGAGAACTACCTGGCACACAAACAGAACTTTTGCCCTGCAACAGCCGCCGCCGCCGCTGCTGCTGCTGCTGCTGCTGCTGCGGCTGCTCAGCAACAACAACAGCCCCAACAGCAGCCACAACACAATGAGAGCGGCAGCTTGGAGTCGACTATGTTCCCAGATGTGAAGAGTGAAGGCAATAACAACCCTGATGACGCCTATGATAAGAGCCCAGGCAAATGTGAGAAGAACAGCAATGGGAAGGTGATGGTGCAGAATGGAGGCATGTTTCCTCCTCACATGGGTCCTGTGTCGGGCCTCAAGCCTTTTGCTGAGCCCCAGCTCATCCCATCGAAAGATGAGAACAAGAATATGTTTCTGCCCCACTGCCTTTATCCTGGAGCAATAAAGAAGGTGAAAGGTCCTGAGCAAATTTCGCCGTATTTTGGGATAAAGCCAACTGATTATGTGACTGGGGGACCGGTGATGCAGGGCGAGGCCGGTGAACAGGAGCAGAGCGTTAACGGGGGAGGAGGAGGTCCTGGAGGAGGAGAGACAGGAACAACCAGAGAGCAGGCCCCACAGCCTGCTGCTAATGGCTGCCCCCACCCTGGCAAGGAGCCCCTTCCCCTTCTGCCCAAAAATCGGGGCATGGTCATCGTCAACGGGGGGCACAAGCCCGAGGAGCGTTCAGGCACAGCCCCACCACAGCAGGAGAACCAGCCCCAGCCAGACAGCCAACCCCCCAACCCTTCTCCCACGTGGGCCACCGAAAATCAGGCCGACTCCAACGAGAACATGTCACCTTCCTCCAAATCCCCAAACGAGGAGGCGGCACCCACAGCCAATAAAGGCGTGAACGGCTCTGGAAGTGGCAAGTACTGCCGCCTCTGTGATATCCAGTTCAACAACCTGTCAAACTTTATTACCCATAAGAAGTTTTACTGTTCGTCACATGCTGCAGAGCATGTAAAATAAGTTCAGAAGAATAAGACATGTTCTTCTTTTCCTTCCTACACCTTTCCCCCCAACTTTTACTCCTTTTTTCTCCTTGGTTTTGGTACACTGTTGTGTCTGGAATAGTGCATCATGCAGTGCTAAACGCTGCTTGTGGACAATCAAGAGAAGCTTCTTCTTTCATCGTTTTAAGACTTAAAAATGCAAAACCATTGGTTAAAAAAAGAAAAGAAAAATGAATCAAGAATAATATTGGTGCCACTTTCACATTAATTTATTTTACAATCAGTATTAATAGGAGTAGTGATCTTAATTTAAATTCAAAATGAAATTTATATCAGAGTTGTTTGTAATGTTATTGTATAGTCATTCTTGTGTAGCACACATATTGTTTACACTGTAATGTAGGCTCAATGAAACAATAGACAATACAAAAATGAGATGCATTTTAGACACAAAAATAGCTACTGAGGCACTTGTGTATTCTTATTTGCTGTACCAGTTTCTGTATATGCCCAAAATGTCCCTTGCAGATTGCTTCTAATGACTTGTTAGCCTTAACAATCACCATTTGGGGGTGATAACAGGCACAACCCTGCATCTCACATTTTGGCATATACACATGGCTTTGCATACATATGTGGCTGTTTGTCCCTGTCTCTTTTCTTCAACTCAGATGTGGATGTTTTCATGAGGATGGCAGCATTCTTGTATAGTACTCGTATTTCTGTTTGATGATACACTTTGGTCTCCCTTTTTGAAATTTGCTCTCAATGCAATACTTTGTAAATGAGGGAACATTACTGAAAGCAGTATTATGAAATGGGGTCTGTGCATATAATTATTTGTAACCCCATAGGGAAAAAAAAGAAGTTGTACAAGAATTAAGTTTATTGCTGATGAACAAGATGGGTGGGAGGTCAGTGGGGATACTGATGTAAAATGATCATTCCAATGTCCTGATTATGGGAGAAAATGTTTCTTAAAACGTTGTTGCTATGCATGTATATGGATGGAATTAAATTCCAGATCTGTTGGAAATTTTTATTTTGATGTGGTGTCATAATTAAACTTAAATCCTCAGGATAAACCAATGCTGTCTGGTCTTTCTTTCACACTACTACATAAAACTGATGAACTGAGTGAGAAAAGTGTTGTTACAAATAGACTCAAAACGACATAAAGGTTTATTTTCAAAAAGGTCTGTCTGTAAATTCCAAAAGTCATAAAAAAGAAGTCTAGGTCTGGTTGTGATGTAGCTCAACTGTATGTAAGTAACAACTGGAGCTCGTGCAACCCATCAAGAAGAACTGAATTCCTTGTGGCTACAACATGGAAGAATATTAAGACAGAACTAAATGAGATAAAAAGTATTGGGTTGAGCAGTGATGTGTGTGACCTTTACATTGATAAGGAATAATGTATTAATTTTTTTGCACTGGCCAATCAGGTGAAGAGCCTGAAATAACAACTTAAAAGATAAGATGAATCTAAGACAGAAAATATTTCATCACACTGAATACCCTCCAGTTATCTTCAATTAAAAAGCTTCCAATGAAGCAGAGTTGTGCAAAAATATGTTCTGAAATTGACTTCTTGATGAACCTTAGCAGACATGTAGACAATCTCTACAGATTGCTGCAGAGAAAGGTAAAAAAAAAAAAAAAGATAACTTGAGTGTTTTATTGAATATTTAAAACATATTCAACCATTACTCTTTCCATATCTGAGGTGTAGTTGCATATTGGCCGCGGGTCACTCGCTCTGCTGTCTGGCTTGTCGTTGGTTGACTAGCTTCCTCAGGTGCTGGCTGATGGCAGATGGCTTCTTGTAGATCATTCGCCGGTCTGCTCCTTTTATGTGAATGTGATTGGCTGATGGGTAGGATTCCTTCAGAAACCTCTTTTGAAGCTTTGCAACCATCTGGTGCAGGGGGAATATGATTTACCATGTTACTAGTGCATTGTTCAGTCACTGTACCAGACTTAATGATGCAGCATGAAGTTGTGCAGCCACAGTAAACATACTCACTTGGTTTAGGTGTTCAGGCAATTGTTCGTCAAAGGAGTCCCCAGTGAGCACGCTCACTGATGTCCTGCTGGACAGGGGCTTAAACTTGGTGATATCCCTTTTAAAAACAAAACAAACAAATATTAACTTTGAGTAATATTTTTAAATGTTTGTATTAAATTTTACATTCAACATTTAAATAGAACAATTCTGTGGAAAAAAAAGCTTTCTAAGTGTGTTTGTCATACCTTACTTGAGCTGCACTCTCGTTCAGAAAGAAATGCTCATCTACAGCACTGCTTTGATGGGCAGGGTTACTTAGCAGGTATTTCTATCAGCAACAGAGACAGAGAAAATACATCTCAAATAAATAACTTTACAGGATACTACTCACATGACCTTCAGAAACAACAGAAAACAAAAGATACATACCAAACATTACATAAACTTAAATAAAACATACAAAGCTCTCATGATGATTGTAAACCTTTAACCAAAACTTTATCACATGAAACATCTTATATGAAAAGGATCAGCGATAATAATGTTTGGCAGGAAAAGCATAACTTTAAAATCATATTAAAAAAGGACAATAGCAGATAAAATGCATTCAATTCTCGACTTCGTCCAAATCACTGTTCTCCTCTGAGGCAGAATGGAAGCGGCTAATTTTGTACAGTCAAACACAGAGTGCCAGATCTAAACTGAGCTCAAACAGACCTCTGAGCTCTGCTAGAGTTAAGGGTGACATATTGCTCCAGGAGGTTAAAACAATATGTTCTCAGCTTTGTTTTGTTTAATGTTTCTTCTGACTATATTTCCTTTTTAATTTCAAATAGCAAAGCCTTAAAGTAACCAACACTTCAAGGCCACTTATTTCTGTATGGAGTACTGTACGAATATTTTTTTAAAACACAGACAAAATTTAACTCTATATTTTGTGTCCATCCTTTTCTTGCACAGTTTTTCAAGGTACTCAGCAGGTAGGTTGTTCCAAGCATCTTAGAAAACTTGCCCCAGTTCTGGTAATTTAGTCTGTCTCAGTGTCTTGTGTCTCATCATATAATCCCAGAATAACTCCCTGGTTCTAAGATCACAGCTCTGAGGAGGCCATAACATTTGTTGCAGGATTCCTTGTTGTTCTTGAGGCTTGAGATAGTTCTTTATGACTCTGATTGTATGTTTTTGGGCTCACTGTTGTGCTACACAATGAATATGGAAACCATAAACTATATTTAAATAACTCTGTAGGCTTTCCTACCCATGGAGAGTTACTCAAGCAAAGCTGATAAAAGATTTATTTAGCTAGTAAATTAGCAGGCGCAGCTCCAACATCAGCACATGTGGCACTGACAGCTTTGGTTCATTTTACATACTCCCATTTTGTTTGTCTATGACCACTGCAAAACAATACAGCGTCCCCCTGAAATCTACAAGATTTAAACAGTTGTGTGCACGTATTGTAAGCAAGAAGGTAGCATAATTCAATGACTAATTCACCAGATTCCAGTGCCAAGAAAGATGTCATAATGTGCATTTGTAGGATGATTTGTAGAAGATAGAAAAATTAACTATGAAAATGTCTATAGTTATTTTGTAGTGAATGCAGTGTCCAGCTCATTCAGTGGAGCAGCGCAGAGCAAAAACACCAATATAACATCTGGACCCTCGCTCTTGTTCTCTTTGATTCTGTAGCTCAAGGCTGGCAAAGTTCACCACGCTACAGAATAGATGCGAATTTTCAAATTGAACAGAAATCCTCTTTAACTGTATCTATCAGTCACATGTGATGAGACCAGATAGCTTTGGTGCCGTTAACATTGCAGCAAACAATTCTGCTCCAGTTCAATTAAGCAGTGGTTACAGAACATGCCCTTGAGAAATGGACTGCATGCTCTATTGAGTTCGGTATGCTTGTGTGTGTGCGAGTGTGTGTGTGTGTGTGTGTGTGTGTGTGTGTGTGAGTGTGAGTGCATGCGTGCGTGCGTGCATGTACATTATAACCTTCACTAGCCTGTCTACAAAACCTTTTTCTGTCCTTGGAGAATTCAAGCACAATGATGTCCTTATCTCCTTGGCAACAACTGTAATACTTGAAAAGCTGAAATAGGTCCCTCATCACTGCTGCCATCAAATCGTGGGTGGCTGGCAGCAGAGAACAAGGCGTCTTAACGAACTGTTCACATTCATCCCCAAGACGTCATCGCATCATACAGACAGCTGCCGCAAAAAAATAACAAAAAATGCTGAACGGATGTTGAAAAAAAAAATGTCGCTGTGCGTTCACAGAGGGCCAATAAAGGGTACGTTGTTTCTGTAAAACAAAAATAAAGAATTTGAACTATGAAACGACTATGAAAAATTAGCCTCCCCTGCAATATTCTTATTGTCTCTGTCCCGAATGCTCAAACATGAGTCTAGAAGGTCTGTTTTCGTGCTAAAATAAGGTGTCAGTGTATAGAGAGCATTTCCCCATGATGGTAAAGATATTGGTTGTTGTTCATCATCAGAATCCATTACTTCTTCTTTGTCTGGGATGTTTTCAATAGGAAGTAAAAAATGACTACAGGACTCCGTGACAGGCAGAAGTGTCACAACTGCATGTGTGATTCGCAACAGATCTCAGCGCATAAAAAAATATCCCCTCCCCTGTCGAAAAATACTCATCTGCAATACACAGCAAAAAGCTTGTAGCTTATATTAACAGCTTTTTCCTCACAAACCGTATGACCTGTCAAAGGGCCGAGTTTTACAATATAGCAGGCATCACGAGATACAGTGCATTTGCAGCGTCATGTCAGCTCCAGGAAACGGGTTCAATTTTCATTTATTTAAAAATGACGTCTGGTGTCATATCATGCCAAATTCACTGTCTCTGACGGTATGAAGACAAACGCTCCTGCAGTCATCACCCACTTGTATCTCTGCTGAGGAGGAGACGTGATTATTCTTGCACTAGCACCATCCTGTGGCTGCGCGGCAAAGATGGGAGGAATGTCATTTAAACTGCCTGGAACATATCACTTTTTCCTTCCATGTTTTTAATTAGGTTAAAGAAACTGTCTGAGCAGCGGAACAAAGCCGAAGTCAGGTGCACAGATTATAGACATCTCAAAACATTTATGGTATGACAGCTGCTTTCTACAATGATGGCTGAGAAATCTTTCCCTAAATCACCTTGAAATCACCCCTGACCTGCTGTGTCATTTTCACCACGACACAAGTCACTTGCAGCCTCGAGGACATGCTTCGCTTCAGTATTCATGTGGGTGGGTGTGAGTGCACTAGCCTAACCTGGCGCTGGATGACCTCCTCTGAGACATTTTGGCCTTTTATAGTCGGTTCGATTGCCCCCAGGATGATCAGCATGCGGCTCAGCCCTGTAGCTGCTGAAAACTGCCTGGCTTGGAATGATGGCAGCAGCTTACCATACCTGAAAAATGACACACACAGAAACACAGATTCAAAAAGACGCTAGCAGGAGACAAAATAAAATTTAACAGAAAACAGCTGTTTTTCTTTGCACTACCTGTTTTTTTGTCCTGCAGGTACAGCAAAACAGTAACAATCAATAAGTTAGCAATGACTTTGAGTCCTGCTTCTGTCCTTCAGATGAATGTAGGTGCAGCATCCACTGAACTAGTACCTCTTTTTAGAAACTAAGCTGGTTTAACTTACTGAATGCTGCAATATGTTCACATACCCAAAAGGTACTCACTAGGTTTGCTTACCAGTTAAAAATGCATAGTTTACTATAGATTTTAACTAAAAACAGAGCCATGCTGCTGTTTTTTAGACCACAGGGCTCAAAACAACACGCTAAAAGATGTTAAAGGGCACAAAGAGGTAAAGGAGACAACAGAATATGGCGATAGTTCATCAATATTAGAATTAGAATAAAAATTTGAATAAAACTTTATTGATTCCTTTGGTACAAAACCTCAGGGAAACTGCTACACCAGAAAAAACAACACAACACCAACATAAAATCAGCAACAACAACAGCATTCAAATTCAAAATCAAATATATCAGCGATATAAAATACAATATAATATAATCAAATAACATCAGCAACATCTTTCAAATTATACTAGTCTTTTGATGATTATACAGTGTGCTTATCAATGCCAGAGTTCCCTATCCTTCAAACAAAAAGCAGCAGCAGCTGATCAAGTTTAAATCGTGCTGCTTAACAACATGCCAAAGTTTTGAATGTCTCTATTACAACAACAAGCACAAATAGCGACTCAAGCAAAGTCATACATAACACTTCCCCGAGACACTTTCACCCCAAAATCTCAAACTTTCTCTTCGAAAACATTTGCCTGGGGAATGAGAAATACTCTTTTTTTGGCAGATGAGAGAAGAAGAGCTGTGGGATTTTGTAACTCAGGAGGCCCAATCGGTCTCGGCTCACTGGTGCTCTGAATTGGCTGGTCTCAGCCTGTGGAGCCCAATCAATAGTGCCGCGCGCCTGCTGCCGCCATCGTCGTGCTGCGCAGCCTGCCCCTACATGCAGCCAGCACACTGTAGCTCTGTCCCCCGTGCACCGGGAGACACTCATCCCCGTTTTAGCCTGATTCGGGCCTGGCTTGAAGCACTGTGCCCCTGTGTCTTATCAGTTTCAACATCTAACAGACGGTCAATCAGGTACATACAGTTCCAGCTTAATTAGAAAGGTAAGTTGAGCATTTTCACTATTACTATACTATATTATTTTATCAATCAATCACAGTTCACTCTATAAAAAGACAAAAACAGTGACGATTTACCATCAGTTCACTTCTGAATATTTTTTTTTTGTCCAATCAGCAGTTCAAAAGCTCACAATGGTGAAGAAAAAGGCAAATCTCTACATTTGAGAAGGTAGGTTCAGCAAATATTTGGCCTTTCTTTCATGCAGTAGTTTGATGAACGGTCATATTTTTCTGAAAATTGCTCCAACTTTTACTTGGATTTGCAAAAAACGCATGATCCGCATGCTGTCATGATGCCCAGAGGATGAACCCTACTGGTGTTGACTACCACATGGCATCCCATCTCTGGTGATTTCACGTTAATTTTAAATTTGTCCAGTGCTTTAATGCATGGTTTATGTATTCAGTGGTCATTTTAAACATTAGCATGATATTATGTTAAACTAACATGGTGAACATGTCACTGTCAGTATCGTTACAAGCTAACGTTAGAACTTAGCTTTAATTATAATTGACTTTCATTGTTTGATAAATGCTTTCGAAAACTAATCAGCTATCAAAATGTACACTGATTTATTCTTTCAATCGACAACTCCGTTCTTTCAGCACTGAAATGTACTAATACTCAAAAGCTACAACAGAAAGCAGCATTACTTGCCACAGGAAATTACATTTGACAACAGTCGGGCTTCAGCACTGCTTCACTGCCATTGTACTGTTCATATCAAACTGCCATCGTAAACATGCACTTTTCATGTGTAAAATAACCTATTTCACCTGTTGTTGATATGACATGTTGCTACCCAAAGAACTGTAGCTTGACATATCAAGCTGTGCTCTGGCAAAGCATGTCAGGAATGATTGGTCAGATAAAGCTGATACAAACAGCAGAGAATAGGTGTTCAACTGCCACAAATGGCTTTGTAAAGATAACATATCTGCCATATTCACGGTAGAAGAAACAGTCCCTTCAGGTCAATAATAGATACAGACAGAGGGGGAAAGGAAACAAGCCGACTGTTCTAATTCTCGGTCTTCGGCAGACAGAGAAAACTTTTCAAATCAGACCTCCGGAGAGTGACATTTTGACATTTTCATCTGCCTTGCCACAGTTTTCCCCTGAAGTCATTCCGGCACCACAATTTAGAACTGACTCCTCGACCTGGTTCTTAAGGGACTTCTCAGTCTCTGCACATTTTCCACCTGTCACCCTTTTCTTACCCCTTGGTTCCAAAAATAAAGAGAGGGGGGGGGGACGCTCTCCCTATCAGCCCCCCAGTCCGAATCTGGTCAAATCATTCCTGGGTCTGGCATTGAACATTATTTCAAGGATTCTCCAGCCACCTGTCCTCTTCCCTCCTCTTTTTTCCATTTTTAATTCTGCCCCCGAGTGAGGATTATGCGAAGCAAGGCATGCGTGTCAAAGGGAAATTTAGTGGGTAAAGACAGCCAAGATTGGCGGGATGAATTAAACAGATAACGGGAGGAGACGAAGTGGGGGAACCATGTAGAGCAAAACGCCTCACCGATGTTGGTCATTTCAGAGGGGCTCTTTTTTTTTTCTCCCCACAGGAGCGAGGAGGCAATATCTAAATTAATATAGTGATGAAATGAGTTTGTGCCGTGGACTTTCTGCTGTTTGACTTTCCCATCTGGATTAGTGCAGGCTGAATGGACGCTCTGTTACTTTTGTTACAACTGCGCAATTCACTGTCGGAATTTGGCCCTGTAGTGATAAGGCTCCCCTCCTCCTCCTCATTACCATCTCATTCCATATGCAGGGCCTCTGTTACCTGAGAGCCTGCTCACACACAAAACACGAACTATTACACGAGCTTCTGCCAACTATTACAATGAGCACAGAACATTTGAACACGGACTATTACATGAGGCTCAACTAACTATTACGCCGAAGGAACCTTCTTAAAAAAACTGGCTATTCCAAAGACTGCCAGAGAGCATTAGAAAACAGAGGGCATACGGACACGTGGACAGGCCTCTAACTCTTGCTCTGTATGCAAAAGAATCGTATTCTTTGATGACTTAGCTAAAAATCTAAGGTTGGCAAAACAAGGATGGAACATTCACCACTGAATGTCACATGGAGAATAACACAAGGCCTCTATTGCTGTAATAAAGTCACTTATTAGACAATCGATTTGAAATTCACTTTCCCCAGGTTGTGAAGTGCTTTAATGGTTATTCAGAAAAGGCGAGACAGAGCAGATCAAGTACAACAGACAATAGGAAAATGCTTTAAATTTCCTACATTGGTCTAATGCAGCTGCAGCTCCAAGACTGATCATAAGTTAACAGAAGGTATTACTCTTCCAAGCAGTCAAAGTCTGCACTAATTGTCCATTGGGACAATGTTGACTGTGTGATAAAGATGTGCTTACGTTCACCATCTGTCTGCCACATCCTATTATTGTAATATTGATGATGATATATGAATTATTTGTTGTGTGGGTTTGTTGGTAGTGTGGTGTTACCTAGTCACTCGGACTCCTGCATATTTGCTATGTGTGCATTAAAAACGCCGACAGCATCAGTGTTGGACTTCCACGTTACAGTTTTTCCACCAAAAAAGTTTCAGTCCTGAAAAAGTTCATTATTGGAACACTGGAAGCAGGGTGACAACTTGCAAACCAGATGTCAGCTGTGGTTGGTGGGTAGGTAGAGAAGGTTGGGGTGTTTGGTTGTTAGGGTAAGATGGGTCAGATAGCAGAGCTGATCAAACAAATGTTAGGGAACACCAAGCAAGATGAAGATCATACTGATTACCTGAAAGCTATAGCATCTCATTGTAAATCTTAACTTTGGACCAAGTAAGTTGAGTTATCTAATGATAGATATTATGGACTTTTTCCATGTTAAATAAGGTATACCTACTCTGTTAGTGCTTCAGGTTCTATGATGATGTGTTCCCCAATGGGAACCATTTGTGTCTATTTTTTTGGTTTAAACACATGGAACTGTTCAAATATAGGGTTGTGAACCCAAAGTACATCAGTAGAAATGCCACTTCTGTAACACTTGACACTATTTCACTTATGTCCTCCTTTTTACGATGCCAAACAAACTAGATTGCACGAAACAGCTGCCATACCTTTCAGTGTAAGTGACCATACTGTTGCTTAAATATAAAGATATTTCCCACTATGGGAGCCTAACAACCTGCAACCTGGAAATTCCTATAACTTGAATCTGGAAGAATTCAGGAGGTCCAGGTTCTAGGTTTCTACTGTGTGGCACTAAGATAGACTTCCTTTAACATTCACATGTGATGACAGAAGAGCCACATTCACAGCTAATGCTGCAAGTCTGGTTTCTACGTAAACACTATTCTTGTCTTCTGAGTTTCATAGACAAAGAAATTGCTTAAGACCTCAGCAGAATGACATTTTGGCATTTTCATCATCTTCGCCACAGTTCTATCTGTCATCCAGATATATAACTGTACTGTTACAACTAAGATTATGTTTTAATCCAACCTTATGAAACAAGTACAACTAGGCAATTAACACTAGCCTTGGGGCTACAGTGTCTCACACACCCACGTTATTATAGGCTCCTGTATTGTGCAATACAATATTCAAACATTCAGTTTCATAATAACACACTTCAGGACACAGACACTGTGGCATCACAAATTAAAAACAAAATACAAATGCGTCACTCTTTAACTGGCATCTTCCAACTACCAACTGCACATTTACACCTTTAATATTTCAG